TTTGGTGGAGAGTGTCAGATCTGTCCATATTGCGGACAAATTTTGCTAAAGAAAAAATTTGCCGAATTTTCTTGAGTAGTCTCTGTTATCTGGAACATCTTCCAAAATCTTTGCCAGGAAACTGGACAAATGGTCCTTTGGTGCCCAGTGGGATTCTTAGAAGATTAGATGGCAATGTGATCAGGATAGCAAACTTTGTTTTCGAGAGCTTGACAAAAGGGGCTCAGTCAAATGTGTTGGAGAGTGGGGGACAAATAAGGGAGAGTGAGTCACTGGAGGCTGGTAGACAGGAAGGTCATATTTAACAATTTCTGTCTCAAAGAACGAAGACTGGCAAATTCAGTAGAAAAGTGATTAGAGTGCAGAGCTAAAGCCTTAAGATGGTCAGTGTAGTAAGGCAAACTCTCCACTCTTTTGGAAGGCAGCGAACTTAAAAGTCTTGGTATTCTTAAATATCTTGGGATCCTTCTTTGTGTCACAAAACATGCGAACATTCACAAGTTAACCCCCTATCCCTCTCTCTTCTTGAAATAGAAGTTTCCCCTTCCTAGCAACCCAGTGCAGTCTTAATGTCCCCATGCACTGCTCCACTGGCATGCTCCTTGTTGACAAGATGACACGTGTCAAGTCAGTGGGGTTTTCTCAGGGCTTATGCTCTCAACTTCCACAGGATGTGGCACTGTTGATGCTTCTTCATTCAAGAAGCTCTTCTCTGCTTGACTTCCAGATAATCACTCAGACACATCCACGTGCATGGCTGATTTGCCCCTGTGGTTTTCAACCCCAGAAATGTCTATCCATAACCCAGGCATCATTTATATTGTACTTCCACTGACTTGAGTTTGAGAGGCAGAGGAATTCCTTCCAAACCCCATATGGCTTTCTCTAGGGAACTTGGGAAGGCCAGTCAGTCTCCTCCAGGAAACAGGAGTCCTTGGAAGAGATTAGAATCCCGGACAACCTCAGTCCAATCAGAGCATTGAGCATTCCCTGGAGATGATGATAACCTTTGCATAAAGGAATATTGATACTTGAACATCTCTGAGCTGTGAAATTAATCTGGGACATGCTAACAGGAACCCATTGGATACTCTTCCCAAGTTCTACTCCAACCTCAGGTGACTGACTAATTGGAAGGTGCACCTGGAATGGATTTCTCTGGGCTAGAGAGAGAGAGAGAAGGGTAGAGTCACTTTTAAGATCTAGAAATGGTCAACATGTATTAACAGACCTCTGTCTAGAATATTGAAAGAAAGGCAGAGACAACTTGGTCATTCAAGCATCTGAATCCCTCTAACTACCTTTCTAAAGCATCATCTTTGTCCCAGGGGAGAAGCTTCCACTCTCTCCCCTTTTCCATAACTTTGTTTCATACTGAATTTCCTTCCTCCCTGAGAATTCCCTCACCTATCTTTAATAATGGTGTCTCTAAGTTTGAAGAGTTCTATCAGGACCCTCCTGATCCCCTGCCAGACTAACTTTCTACACTATAAACGTCTAAATACATTACTCTGTCAACCAAACTCGAAAGGACCAAAGAGGTCCCTCAAAGAGCATGAGGATGAGAGAAGACATTCATAATCTTCCCCCAAATCCCTTTCCAGTTCAAGCCCTTTTCTATTCTTTGCCAATCCTGTCACCCACAAATGTTCTCTCCATTATGTTTTTCTTTTTCTTTCCTTTTTTTTAAAAGATTTTTTTGATGTGGACCATTTTTAAAGTCTTTATTGATTTTGTTACAATATTGCCTCTGTTTTATGTTTTGGTTTTTTGGCCACGAGGCATATGGGATCTTAGCTCCCTGACCAGGGATCAAACCCGCACCCCCTGCACTGGAAGGCAAAGTCCCAGCCACTGGATTGCCAGGGAAGTCCCTTCGTTATGTTTTTCTATCTTGTATTCCTTTCCTCTCCTAATCAGTTTCCCCTGGTTTTTCTGCTTTCATCTACCCACTTAATTTCTATAGATTTTCCTCACCTTCATTCTCATTATAGAGCTGCAGTGAGACCAGGATGGGTTTTCAATCCTTTGGGGAGGGAAAGGGTATGAGAAAAGAAGACTTGGACAAGTTAGAGTATTTTAATCTCCCCCAAATTATTTTTTTCTGAGAGTAGTTATTAGTAGGTATCTTTTTAAAAGAACAGTTTCCTGGTCAAGTAAGCCTGGGAAATATGGTTAGACATTTTTCTCACCTAAAGATAGCCTGAAAATTTTAACATAGTAATGGGCATTTATTAGTTGTCTATTATTTCATAACAAGCTGCCCTCAAAATTAGAGGCTTAAAACACAAATACACATTCATTATCTCATAATTTCTGGGGGACAGGAATGTGGGATTGGCTTGGCTGAGTGGTTCTCGCTTGGAGTTTCTCATATGGTTGCAGTCAAGATGTTGACCAGGACTGCTGTCATCTGAAGGCTTGACTGGGGCTGGAGGATCCACCTCCAAGAAGGGCCACTCACATGGCGGGCAGATTGATGCTGGCTGTCAGCAGGGGATCTCAGTTTCCTACTACATGGACTCCTCCATAGGGCTGCTTGAGCAACCTCATGACGTGGCATTGGGCTCCCCAGAGAAAGTGGTCCAAGAGAGCAAGGAGGAAACTACAATATCTTTCTTTTATTTATTGAAATATAGTTGATTTATAACGTTGTAATTGTTTTAGGTTTACAGCAAAGTCATTCATATCTATCTATCTATTTACCTATCTATCATCTATCTATTCTTTCTCAGATTCTTTCCCATTATAGCTTATTACAAGATATTGAATATAGTTCCCTGTGCTATAATAGGACCTCGCTGTTTACCTATTTTGTATATAGTACTGTGTATATGTTAATCACAAACTCCTAATTTATCCCCCCCCAAACACACTTTCCCCTTTGGTACCCGTAATTTTGTTTTCTGTGTCTGTGAGTCTGTTTCTGTTTTGTAAATAAGTTCATTTGTATTTTTTTAGATTCCACATATGATATTTGTCTTTCTCTGACTTACCTCATTTAGTATGATAATCTCTAAGTCTATCCATGTTCTTGCAAATGACATTATTTCATTCTTTTTTATGGCTCAGTGATATTCCATTGTACACATCTTCTTTATCCATTCATCTGTCAATGGACTTTGAGGTTGCTTCCATGTCTTGGCTATTGTAAATAGTGCTATTATGAACATTGGGGTCATACAGCCCAATATCAGAAAAACAAACAACCCAATCAAAAAATAGGCAGAAGACCTAAATAGACATTTCTCCAGAGAAGACGTACAGCTGGCCAAAAGGCACGTGAAAAAAAATGCTCAACATCACTAACTATTAAAGAAATGCAAGTCAAAACTACAATGAGGTAACACCTCACACTGGTCAGAATGGCCATGATTAAAAAGCTTACAAATAATAAATGCTGGAGAGGGTGTGGAGAAAAGGGAACCCTCCTACACTGTTGGTGGGAATGTAAATTGGTGTAGCCACTATGGAGAACAGTATGGAGGTTCCTTAAAAAACTAAAAATAAAGTGACCATATGATCCAGCAATCCCACTCCTGAGCATACATCTGGAGAAAATTCTAATTCAAAAAGATAAATGCCAGTATCTTTTATGACCTAGTCTCAGAAGTCACACACCATCATTTCTGCAGTATCTTATTAATTACACACAGATCAGTCTCATTCAGTGTGGGAGGGGAGGTGTGAATACCAGGAGATGAGGAATATTAGGGATCATTTGGGAGGCAAGCTAGTGCAATGCACTATGAATCTCCAAAATTTAGAGACTCTCAAGCAGAGGGGAAGATGAGTGTCTGGAGAAATAATCCTGAAAAATGGAGCAAGAGTGTGTATTGAGGATTCCCAGAATGGAAGACGTATGAAGCTAAAACTGAGTTCTGGCTGGGATCCTCTAAAGAGGATCCCTCACTGCAGTAACGCTTGCACAGGGCTTCTCTGCCAGTCCCAAACTTCTTGGAAGGTTCACCCTCTTGTAAGCTGTTTACTTCCTCTGTCCTAAATCAAAGATTGGGTGAAAAAAAGTCAAAGTTCACAGGCTGAAAAGAACTTATCACAGAATCTCTAAAATCTGGAGATGAAGACAATCTAGCATACTCAGCTGTTCCAGGCAGGAACAGCTTTCTGTGTGGGACTGTTTTTGCTTTCAGCCACATGACCGCAACCCAACAGTCTCTTTTACGATCTGCGCTAAGTGTATAGTAAGGTCACTTGGATGATTCAGATCACAAAGGCCCGTTCTTCTCTGCTCATTTGCCCAGTGTCTTGTTTGCGAAGGTCCCAGCCTGGGGTCGGAGCCATAGCACTTGGAGTAAGTTCTCATCAAACGTTTACAGTGACCTTATTAGCGGACGTAGGACAGGAAAGGAAAGGGCAAGGATAAAAAGGCTAGCGAGTGAGAAAGAAGTAGAAATGGGGAAGAGGTAATGCAGAATGAAAGGGAAGATGCGTGAAAAAACGGAAGGAATAAGAAAACGGGCACACCCACGCTCCCTTGAACGCGGAAGAGTGCTTTGCCGTCCTTGGCCACAAGGTGGCACCCTTTGAACTTTCTTCCCGCATCAAAATAAGAAAGGGGGGTGGGCAGAGAGGAGGGAGAAAAGGCAAAGCACTCCCCCAATCAAGAACAATTTGAAAACCCACCCCATAATATTTAAAATCTGGGACAAAGAACCATCAGCACGGAACTGCTTCAATTGCAAAACCTCAGCGCTGCCTCCGGAGCAGCCTGCCGGCCCGAGTCAAAAACAACCCCTTTAAAAAAGCGGACTACAGCGTTGGGATTCTTGAAACCTGAAACCTAGAAACAGAATCTTAGCGGAAACCAGAAGGAAAACCTTGAACTCTTCCAGACAATTGCTTCCGGGGAGTTTCGGGAGAGCGAGGGGGAATAAAAGGCCCGAGAGGAGAGCCCCTCGGATGGCGCGTCCTTGAGGGTCCTGGCGAGTTCGAGGAGCGTGGGAAGGAGAGGACCCCACCCTCTCCCCGGGCTGCAGGTCATGGCCACCGTGGAGCAGAAGGCCCTGGGCATTGGCTTCAAGTGTCTCTCTTTGGCCACTTTTGTGCTCATCTGCGCCGGCCAAGGGGGACGCAGGGAGGAAGGGGGTCCAGCCTGCTACGGGGGATTTGACCTGTACTTCGTTCTGGACAAGTAAGTGCCCTGAGTTTTCCACCCTAGTTTAAGCTGGTGATGCTTTCTCCCCGGGCTAGGCTCCTTGGCAGTGTGGCTTTGGGACAGGCACGCATCTCCAGGGACCAAGAGGGGCCGCGGGAGGCGGCGGTGCCCCCAGCGCTGCGCCTTTGTGGACGGGGCGCGCCTCCCCCTCCCTCGCCGCTGCCCGAGCCGGCGGGGCAGGCGTCGCTGCTTGTTCTCGGGACAAATTCTTTGCTGTCTTGCTTTCTCTTGACCGAGGCGCGTGAGTCAGAATGGGAGTGTAAGGATTATGTTGACCTACTACGTTTCCGTGAACCCTTTCCATTTGCTTTAGAAACCTTGGTGAGAAAAGCTTGCTTACGAGAGGCAGAACTTTCAGGCACGTGTAAAGTAAGAGGCGTGGGCTTTTAAAAGTCAATCGTCTCTCGTTTAAAAACTCTGTCCTACATATTGCTTTATCTTTCTTCCTAATGATAGAATGTAGGCTGACTGGGAAGTCAGTGAAAATACAAGGTGGATTTCTCCACCCCGGCACCATTGAGTTTGAGGCTGGGGAGTTCTTTGTCGTGGGGACGTCCTGTGCCTTGCAGGGTGTTGAGCACCCCTGGCTTCTACCCACTAGATGCCGGTACTACCCCCCTCCAGAATCTCCCCTGCACCCCTGCCCCCCAACCCGCGCTGCCTCCACGGTCTCTCCGCGGTGACAAGCAAAAATGTCTCTAGAAGTTGCCAAAAGTGCCCTGCGGGTATATTCCTCCTCCCTCTCGGCTTGAGAAACCCTGATGTAGGCGAATTCAAGTTCTTGGCGATTTGACTGGTGGGCTACCAGGGTGGTGGAGGAGCCCTGGTTTCCTTGCGAAAATGGATGAGGCTTCAGGACCGCTCAAGGGAGAGCTGAACTCTGACCAATCCCCCTTAGATTTGCCAGGCCACAGTCATTCAAGGAAGTTTCATGCTATCTACTAAAAAGCAGCTTTAACAATAAAAAGCCCCTCAGAGGAGATCCGTGCTAACACTGGTGTGCTCCCCACTGCCAGGACGGGCGCTTGCTGTTACAGTGGTGGGGAGATTAATTTCACAGACTGGAAAGTATTTGCGAGTTGGAAAAAGAGTCCTGCAAAATAAGCTGGCCAGCTAGACACCAAATGTGCTTTGCAGTTGCCCCTGGAGTTTGATTTTTTTCCGTAAAGGCTGTTTTGAACTCCAGATTCTTTGGATGAAAAGGGAGATCTCTTTCTTGGAGATTTATGAGAAGGTGGATACCGAAAATATACTTCAACGCTAAGCAATGGAATGTCTTTTGTTACTTCTAGCGCCTGGGAGCATCAGCTCACAGATTCAGAGACTGTGTCTGAAAACAGTCAGTGATGCCTATCATTGTTCTTTTAAAAAAAAGAAGAAAAAAAAAGAAAGAAAAGAAAGCCAGTTCAGAAGAACATACAGGCAGATTTGAAAAAATGGACAGAATCACCATGTCTCTGAATGGAATAACTCCACACTGTAGAGATATCAACTCTTTCCAAATTAATTTATAAAATGAATTAAACTTTAAAATCAGAGTTCTGAAAAAACTTATTTTGGTGGTGAGAGGAATTGAGCAAAATGATTCTAGGTTTATCTTAGAGGAAGAAAAAAAACAGGTAATAAGAGCTAAAACATTTTGGGAAAAGAATAATGAAGAAATACTTATACCTCCAAATATTAAAATGTATTGTGAGGCAAATTAATTAAAGAACAGGATGGTAAAGGCCAAAGAATAGGTGTACATAGTAGAAAATCTAGAAATCGATCCAAGGACGTGTACTTCCATTTAGTGGACGTTCAAATCAGTGGAGATGAATTCATTATTTTTAAAAATGGTTTTTGAGCAAATGGTTGGTAACATGGGAAAAGAAAAAGGTTAGATTTATACTTTACCCCCCCCACAAAAATAAATTCCAAGAGTTTAAATGTTAAACATTTCATTTTAAAAAGGAAGTGTTGAAAGAATTAGAAGAAAATGTAGATGAGCATTACTGTAATCTTAGATTTAGAGCTTTAAAAACAGAGTAGAAACAATAAAGAAAACTACAAAAAGATTTAAATATATTAAAATCTTACATGTCTATAAATGAAAAATGCCATAAATAAAAGATAACAAGTTACAAAAACTTTTGCAACATAAATTCACCTCTGTAGAGTAACCTTAATATATCAGAAGCAGTTTTTAAAAGATCATCCCAATAGAAAACAGGCTTACTATATAAATAATTCACAAAAAAAATGAAAGTCTATAAACAAAAAAGTTCAACTTCCCTAGTAATCAAATAAATGGAAAAATCAAACAAGATGTAATTTTTATTAAGTTGGCAGAGATTTTTAAAGAATTATAATATTCAGTATTGTCCAGCTTGTGGAAGGGAGGGCCATTGTCATATCTTACTAACGAAAAGATAAATTTGTTTGGTCTTTCTAGACTTGTGCTGTCCAGTAGAACTTTCTGTGTTGATGGAATGTTCTCTATCTGTGCTTTCCAGTATGGTAGCCACTAGTCCTATGTGGCTATTGATACCTGAATTGTTCCTAGCGGGACTGAAGAAATGAACTTTCTATTTTATTTAAGTTTAATTAATTTAAATTTAAATAGCCACATGTGGCTACTGTATTGGATAGCACAGACAAGAAGATAATTTGGCAACCTGTATCAAAGGAAAAATCCAAGATAGTCAGAAAGAAGTGCCTATGTGTATGTTCATGGCAGTGCTGTTTATGATAATAAAGCTGAAAATTACCTAAATGTCTAACAACAGAGGATTTAATAAGACATGATACACACATGATATTGAGTACGCATGTTATGCATGCTTGTAAGATATTTTTAGGAGAAATACTTAATGCTCATAATATACTCTTAGGTGAAAATATAGTTACCAGACATTACACACTGTGATTCTACCTTTCTTAAAATATAAACACACACATGTATATGTCTCTATTCACCCAATATGTAATAGTATTTGTAGAAAGTAGTATTTTTAAATTCTTTTTTTACACTTTTCTGAATCTTCACATTTTTCTGCAATGAACATATATTACTTTTATATTCAACCAAAATAAGTTACCCTGAGTTTTTAAAATTTATTTATTTATTCATTTATTTAATTTTTGGCTGCACTGGGTCTTTGCTGCTGCATGCGGGTTTTCTCTAGTTGCTGAGAGCAGGGGCTACTTTTGGTTGCGGTGGGCAGGCTTCTCATTGCGGAGGCTTCTCTTGTTGCGGAGCGCTGGCTTCTAGGTGCACGGGCTTCAGTAGCTGTGGCACATGGGCTTCAGTAGTTGTGGCACATGGGCTTCAGTAGTTGTGACTCGCGTGCTCTAGAGCGCAGGCTCAGTGGTTGTGGCGCATGGGCTTAGTTGCTCCGCGGCATGTGGGATCTTCGTGGACCAGGGCTCAAACCCATGTCCCCTGCATTGGCAGGCGGGTTCTTAACCACTGCACCACCAGGGAAGTCCTGTCCTGATTTTTTAAAAACTCACTTCAAGTGTGAGGAGGCTGTCTAACCAGCCTGCTGAGCTCCAAGCCCCTCACGATGATAGAGGATGCTGCCTCTTTCATGTTTAATCCTGGAGTACATTTCTAAATGCACCATAGGATCCTTGGCAATATGTTGGGGACGCAAAAATGTTCCAGGAAAAAAATGATGGGGAGACCTTTACAAGTACCTGCCTTTACATGGAGGTGGACTCCTCTGACTTCCTTTGGTTGTCCTATTGCTTGAAGACAGGGACATTTTTGTGCTGAATGAGAAACTTGCTAGAGCTTGGTGTGATAAGCGTGTGTACCTCCAGCTTGCCATCTCGAGTCAGGCTAATTTATGGGATTGTGGAGCCCAGAGCTGGGGGATGGACCAAAAGGCAGTGACAGCAAACAGTCCCCTGGCTGGTCCCTAAAGACATGGTCTTCCGTCCTAGAAAGAATCTCCCCAAACAGTGCTGTCCAGCACCCAACTGTCGCAGGGTGCAAAGGGAAAGAATTCTGATGCGTTTTTTCCTTGGGCTTCTAAGATCCTCTGGCCGTCAACACACTGTCTACAGGCTGCAACCAACGGCTCACAAGGCACTGAATTCACCATTCTTCTACCAACCCCTCAACTCCCTTTTTTTCCCAGCGAATGGTTCTCTTCTTTTCTGTGCCATTAAATCTCAGCTTATTTCAGGTTTAAGCAGGATGTGTCTCTGGCCTGGAAGAAACCCAGATTATACATTTAATGGAACGTCATGTTTTCTCAACCAGAAGCAAAGACTTCATAATGATAACCTAGACTACCACAGCGACACAATAGGGCATTATTAGTGGCTTTGGCGACGGGGCTGGCGGACTGGGCTTCACAAGGCTTTATATGATGGAATTTCATGTTCATTCGAGCATGCTTTTCTGGTTACAGTCAGGAAAACTAGACTGCTGGGAATTCAATCAGGGATTTGAAAAGTCAGATTTAGAAGGGCTCTGTCCAGAGGAAAACAGTCAAGGAGCAGCTGGCCTTCTTATGTCTTCCAGGGGGTCCTCTAAGATTAATGCACCTAGTACCGCCAGACATGAATGTACTTTTCCCCTCTTGCAAGGCTCTTCTGTTATTACACTAGATATTTATGTATCACACATTGGTCTATTTTATGGAGAGCTATTAGTCACCTAAATGGAAAAAGTGGATTCTCCATCGTGAGTCTGGGGAAGTGCTGGCTGTATTCATGTGTGCCCTACAGACTTCAAAAATAGAATGGTGGGATGGGGCAGGAGTGGAGGACATGGTGTGCTGGAGGATGGCAGTAAGCCCTGAACAGTTGATTTCTAGGACTTCCCAAAGCCACAGCCTGCCACCCACTAAATCCTTACATCTGCAGAGGCCCTCTGCAGACTCACCGTGTGTTGCTTCCCCATTAGACCCCCCAGCTCCTTCCTTCCTCCATGACTTCCTTTTTGTTCAACACCAATTTTCTCTTTCTCTTTTCCCCATACA